TCTGATGGCGCAATAGCAGTATTTTATCTACAAAGATAAAGAAGTAGATAAAACGGGGTTTTAGAATAGTGTCTTTATAACAGACTTCTCGTTGTTTCAGGACTTGTTATGAGTGGACTCCACTGTATATTGAAATAAAACCAGAAAACAAACAAACAATAAGAAAAACAGACTGAAATAAAACCAGAAAACAAAGAAATAACAGGAAGACGAACTGCGTTGATATTGTCACAGTTTATTTGTGAGTGTGGCGCGTCCCACATGAGCAGTGCATGGCACATTCAACACAAGAGCCACGCATGAACACAGCTTAGCCTAGCCACGGGAAGGCTGGAGGGAAGAAGGGTTGGAGGTGTGGGAGAAAGGGGTGCTGGTTAAGAAAGGGTTAGCGTTAAAGAGGAATCGGTGTAAGTTGTGAGTTGAGAAGGGGACGGAAGGAGGGGTTGGGCTGAGAAGAGAGAGAGGGGGGGGGGTGCTGGTCCGAGAAATAGTTGGCGTTAAAAAGAGATAGAAGGTGAGAGCTGCTGGTTTGGGAAAGGAAAAGGGTTTATTTGTTGATATTGTTTTGTTGTTGCCTTTTTGGGGGGGGGGGGGGGCAGGAAGGGAGGGGGGGGAATACATAGGTCAGAGGGGAAGACAACATAGTAAGCAGAACCACCGAGTAGATATCGAGTCATTACAGAAAGCAAATTCAACATCTTGCATTCATTACATTATACCCAAAGTCTGTGAGACACCAATGTATCACGAAGTGGTGGAATCAGTCACTTGTCAATATCGGGACATACTGAGTATTGAGTTATTGGTATCATCTCAAAGCCTGTTCATTCTTCTTGCTTTCGATGAAAAAATACCCATCCATCTTGAATCTCCCATCCATCTTGAATCTAAGTTGAGACATTTTCGATTGGAGGACGCCGGGCTCGCCTGGTATCAGATGTAAAGTGACCGAAAAATAGCCATATAAGTAAGGCGACTTCCAAAGCTGTGGTGTATTTGGAAACTGCAAATCTAGATTTATTGCCACTTTGATCTAAGTTTTTCAGTAACATTCACGCTCAAATGTGTTTTTAAAGGGAAATGATAGGTGGCGAGCCAAAAACAAAATGTTTGATGAAAATACCGGTTCTTTCGATTCCATTCTTTTAGCGAGCACCTGATTCCACCACTATGCCACACATATGGAGGTATGCTATTTATACACTGGATCTGTAATAGCCTACTACAAAGTGCACCGGCCATAAAATAGGCCTACTCAGACCCACAAACAGACTCGTGTGAGATTGAGGTACATCAAAATGTTCAAAATCTACCTGAGAGAAAGACCAGACAAAAAAGATCCTAAAGGTGCATCTCTACAGAATACTGACTTACCCTATCCAGTGAAAGTTCGTAATATCAAAGGTATCAAACACACCCTTCGGTTGTTTCATCAAAACAGCAGTACACAAAACACTATTTCAGTCATTTCTCCTTTCTCTATACCGCACTCACAGACATTAGCAAAGACACGTATCTAAATCTTTCTTTATTTCAAAAGGGGCCTGAGCATGAGAGAAATGATGTTCAAAAGTCTTTTTTCTATCCCACAGAGAACATAGCTTGAAGGGGGCACCCCATAAGCTCAGTAGTTGTTTTCATGCTAGGCTATGTTGCAGATGAGCCAGGTTCGATTCCATAATGGGGCATTCAGAAGATTGGCTGGTTGGCAATCTATCATGGCTCTCCTCCGACTTGGATCAGTCCTATCGAAGAAAAACGTTAAATTTGGAGGTCCAGCTTGTTCCAAAACTTGGTAGTGTTGAAGGGGGCTTTAAATCCATATATATAATAAAATCGTCCATTATATTAATATTACGAACGCTTGATGTTTTACATCGGGATATACTCTTGAAAGAATAGGCAATAGTCTCATCGAGACATGGAAGCTGGACGATGTTATTAGGGCGTCACAGATTTATCGAAGATCCTACTTCTTAAAGGATCTCACTTTGATCAAAGGAGTACAGAACCCACACAATCAGTTCTATCAACTATATGAGTGAACGACTAAAGCTTACAATTTTCTGTCAGTATACTCTCTTGATGTTGAAGGGTAGGAGGCTGGCGTGTGTTTTAATGAGGTTTGCTCCTTATTTCTTATATAAAAATAAAACAACTATCTTCCTTCTCTCCTTTTTCATTTTTGTTGTTGTTTGTTTGTTACTCTTGTAACATCTAAACTCTTCGGCACGTATATGGCCTAATTGTATTGCAAGAGCCGTAAAACACTTATTTAAAAGAAGTTGAAGGAATCAGGCAGCAGTCTCCAATAAGGGGCTGTGGGAGCAGGACGTTGTTAACAGGGAGTTATTTATACATACATTATTCATCATCATGAACATTCAAGCCGGGGACAGCTACTGACTAGCACACAGTGTCGCAGGCCCTTCTTCTTGTGGGGAAAAGTCACCACCATGAATCATAAGGGCATTGTCATTACACAAGGAAAATATTGCCCAGTGTTCACATATCATACAGTAAAGGTTATAAAGTAGATTTCGTGTTTATAACTCAAGTTGTCAGCTATGTGAAGCAACATTAGAACTACTACGCTCTCATATACCAAACAAAAACAAAAAACAAAACAAACAAAAAACATGACATCACCTGTCATTGCTTTACATCCTTGAAGGACAAAGGTTCTAAAATGACAATATCATCTGTAAATAAACAGAACTAACTTTGAACGAGAATGGAACTCACTCACTTTGTCCAAGGTTTGTGCTATTTTAAGATACCTTCCTTCGCTCAGTCAAAAACGTGCGAGAAGTGTTAAAAACACCCCAATCTCAAGGAACCAGTTGTTTATTTATGGACAATTACAGTACAACGTTTTCCACTATATTTCCTTAAAAAAACATGTGCTTCAAGGATCTTATACTTTCCATGGACGAAATAAAAAGTATTCTTCACCACCCGTGATCGTAGGTGGGCCCTCATACATGATAACTAAATAAATCACAAGTTCTCTAGATACATTTCAGCTTACTGGCACAAAATTGCTGGACATAATTATGTGTTCCTCTTTTTAAAAAAGCACCATACACATTCATGATCTGTTGTTAAAAATAGCAGACTGCCCACTCATGTCATTATATTGCACTTGTGGTGTTCACAAAATGTAGAGATAACTGAAGAGGGTGGCATATGAACTGTATGAGCCTATACACCATGGCACCTGACCGAGTAGATTGCTTAGATCGTCTTGTGTGAGAATGTTTGATGTAGAACAGTTTGCTGCAGCTTTACAAGGGTGACCGAAAAACAACCAGTCACCAGGAAGGCTTGGTATGGCTGTCTGTGAAATTAATTACAAAAATGACATTTCTCAAACCGGAAAACTTTGAACCCCACACATAGTCTTTAGGAATGATCTTCAGTAAATGGTTGAACTTTACCGTAGGCAGCTTGTCAGTGCAAAATCCGTTGCTAATCTAGCATCTCATAGAATAGTGAAACAGTTTCATTCTGCTCTGGCAAGAGGCAAACGTGGAGCATTTGAACTTGATTAAGACACAGTGATCATAATGTTGTGCCATTAACTAGGCAATAGACTATGAATCACGTGGAATTCTTTACAATGGCCAAACAGCATTTTCATCTTGCCGGTATTTAAAAAGTTTTCTAGTTGTTTTTTTTTGTTTTTTTTGTTTATAAAAGCCCAGTCCCAATTAATGTAGCATGCACATAGATAAACACTGAAGTATTTTCATTTGCTTTACTGTGCAAAGACTTACTCCACCAAAAAGTGAATGTCTTTAGTTGAGAAAGAAAAAAAATGTCCTAAAAACGAAGGAAAAGAATGACCCAATTCTGATTCTTTCGAATTGAGGAAGTCTATAACTCAGTCACAAAGTAAAAACCCTTTTAAAAGGATAAACTTGTCTCCCTAATCCATATCTCCGCTATACAATAAAGTTTCCCACAGTGACTAAATCTAACACATTTATCATTGTATAATACGAGTAAACATTAGTACACAAAAAGCACACATATCAGTGGAGAGCCAGCAGGGCCTTACAGAAAGTTCTGAACACAGAATGCAACCAGGTGTTTGTTGGTGAGCACTAGCTACAAGTCAACATTTTTTCAGTTCCGAGAAATTATTCCTCGTTGCTGTGTCTCTGGTTACAACAAACGATGTGTGGACAAACAACTTCACCTTTCTTCAACATGTCTACACAAGTAACTTCGAAAGCGGCAGGCAATGAACAGACAAAAAATGAATTACAGTTGAACCTGCTCTGACGGACACGTGTCCAAGACAACCACCTGTACAAACGGCCACTTCCTGTCCCCCCTTGCGTTTTTCAAACACTATAATGACACTGTGTAAGATGTCCACCTGTCTAAACCAATCACTTTTCTTCACGACAACGGGTGGCCATCTTAGACAATTTCGACTGTATATCTATAATACGACCAGTTCAGTGTTTTTTTAAGGGTGAAGACTAGACTTCCAGGCACTGATGTCGAATTCAAATCTTCAAATATATAAAGCATATTAACTTCATGTCCCTTCTTTGCATGCCAGCTTAAGATCAAACTGACAACTTTGCACAGCTGGAAGAATGTAAACAGGTTCTGTGCCCACTATCAGCTGATTATCTTTATCACAAGGGAATGAAATTATAATAGCATACAGTAACATCGCATGGGACAGGTGTTAATTCGTCAACACGTTTCGTGTTTACCTTTACAAAAGGGGAAAAATCACAGTCCAACAGAACATTACAGCCACAAATAATAAATATGATGCCAATAACACAGCAAACAATGTTTTAAACGCCTAAAATAAAAAAAACAAACACCACCAGAATGAAATCAAATATCAAGTCTAGAGATTGAAGACCCGACTGCGCTAAGGCTTTAGGTTGAAATACTGAAAAAATTAATAGTTGTGCGCCCACTAATTTTTGCAGAGTTTTCTGCAACGTCAATGATGATTGAGCAGCTATAGAAGGGGGGGGGGCAGTGGACGATAAGGATCAAGGTCTGCTCCAGGATGTAAAATTGATCATGAAGATGTGAACATTACCAAATTTGTGAAAGCACAAGCAACTGACCAAAAGAACAACCCTCTGGGAAGAAGCATGAAGATCTCAGTGAGAAATCAGCGGTAGAACGGAAGAATATTAGTCCAACAAGAGCGATGTGACGTCGCAGTCATAGCAGAATAGCCTAAGTCATTTTTTCTTGTTTTGAGAATACGTTTTTAAAACACCCAATGAACACCTAAATCAACGCCATTTTAGAGCAAAGTGAAAATTTAAAAAATGTTACAATGGTTGGATTTAGAGAACATGAAAGAAATCCATGCTCCATTGATGACTCGAAGCAAGTAATAGACGTTTTAGCCAAATCAAGAACTACAAATCCAGAAAAAAATGACTTAGGAAAGTATGTTATGATCGTGACAATGCGGGAAAACATGCGGGTTGAAAGATGACTGAAAGATCAGCTCAAACAGGTCAAGACATGAGGTGTGTCTCCCAAGGAGAACCTGTTTGCCAGCAGGGAAGAACAATTCGGTGAGGAATCGGATACATGAATGGAGGCTTACAATATCGGGTGAGCTGAAGCCGGGAAATATGAAACAGCAAAATGACTCGACCTACGAGAAAGAACAGGCCACAAAAGGACTCCCGTACAAATCTAGGTCATCAATTCAAGTCAGCACCATGTCTTCTAGCTCTCGATCAGAGTATGAAAAAAGTTAGGCAATGTGGAGGTACAGGGCGGACATTCCCAATTCTATTCGTTCAAGAATGACACCTTTTAAATTACATAGCTGATCACGTGAGGCCAGTCAGGTCAGATGGCCTAAAAAAACTTACAAACGGTGCATTGTCATCATTGTGAAATAACTGTCGAATCTTTTGTCAACTTTCTGGTGTTTGATGTAGCAGATTATATAAACATGTTTGAAAACAGTTGATCAGCTGACCTCTGACAATTAGGAAAGCATCTAAAAGTATGAGGAGGTGATGTAGCCACGAAAGTTGACTGCTTGGTACCAGATATATATATATATATATATATATATATATATATATATATATATATATATATATATATATATATATATATATATATATCCTAGAACAGAGATTACTGTCACATGAAAAAGACTATTTCAGCAAGCTACCAACACAGACACCAACATTGCATCATTAACAAGCAGGTAGACAGTAGCTAATATCTTGTTCTCAAAGGAACAATTTCTCCCTAGAAAAAATTCGTTCTACTATTCTTTTCGATAGATTAGTCAAAAAGGTTTCGAAAAGTTAGTCCAGTTTGCCATTGACTACCTCAGGCTGTTTACATCCACCAAGGTACGTATTGGGGCACCTTAATTTTTTTCTCCAGCTGCTTGCCAGCATAAAACATCTCGCAGAGGCTTTCAAGTCCCACAAATAAAATGGCACTTGGTTGTTTTCTTGACTTCAGACTGCAGCAATACCCCTGCAGTTTGAAAACCTCTTGTTCACCATCGCCCGAGGACTGAGGAGAAAGTGTTTCCCTCCCACAAAAGTCCACATTGCCCTCTGGGGCAACAAGGATGATAACGCCATCCATGGCAAGACAGGTCGACTTGTTTGCTGGAAACATCCACACCAGCCAGCTCCTGTTGGAGATAACTGCGTGTGGGGAAACTTGGGGATGGGGGAAAACTCTTCACAAATAGTCCGGCTGGAAGCGCAAGTAGTTGATGAGACGGCGCGGCAAGGGCAATTTCTTGATGGTCTCAGGAGGGAAACTCTGAAGGATGCGGATGCGGCAGCGGTTCTGTAAATTGCCTCTGATGGGCAGTTTGTAAATTTGAACGTGATCTATGGGCGTCTCCAGGTCGTTGAGGACAATGGCCATGCGGCTTCCACATTCAGAAAACACAGGCATGTAGTTGACTAGGCATGAGTGCTGACCACAGGCGTACCGATGGTACTGGACGCAATGCAAAGTGTGTGCTAAGTCACCGTCAAACACGTAGATGCTGACATCAATGGGCTGGAAGCGTCGCGCCTTCTTCTCCTTGCAGTGACATCCGCTTGTGATCATGACAGCGAAGATGAGATGTCCGTCCCGTGAGTACCGGATGTCCTTCAGGTTGGGGTTGAGGCTGGAGTTGAAGTCGTCGACCCGCGAGTTGGTGCTGACCACCTCCCACGAGGGCATGCGTACCAGGCTCAGGCTGTTGTCCTCATTTTCCACGAAGCTGGTCACGGCGATGCGAGACGAGCAGAAGCGTGGGTCAAACACGAACAGAGCGTGGTTGTAGTGCAGATTCACCTCTGTGAGTAGCTCTCGGGTGCTCAGCTTGTACAGCTGGAAGACAAATCCGTTCCCGCCGATACGCGTGGTCGGCAGTTTGATGAGACACTGACTTCCGTCCGGCGAGATCTCACCGCGGAGAGCTTCGTTCACGAACTCCACTCGCTGATTACCGAAGATCCCCAGAAATTTATTGGCCTTCAGGTCAATGATTCCAAACTGGGTCATGAGGTTACGCACCAGATGCAGAATGACGGTTTGTCCCTGCGCGCAAAGGACGCTGTTCACGTGGAAGTTCTGAATGGAGGACAGCTGGGCTGGAATGTGATTGTACTCAAAGTGCTCAGCCATTTTGGTAAACTTGCTCTTCCGTCGGAAGCTGAAGAACGGTTCAGACTTGTTGACATTAAGCAGCCCGTTACGATTGATGCAAAATGCAGGACTGCATTCCTTGAAGACACACCCACTGCACGTCATGGTTGTTTCAGTGAACGCAGCGGCGGCTGATGAGAAAAAAAAAAGAAAACTCTAAGAATAAAACAGCTAGAAATAAATAATTGTGTCGCATCGTGGGCTTGTCAACATATTGAAATCGAAAAAAAAACACCGACATTTTTCTGCCCATTTGGTAATTTGTATCCTTTTTAAAAAATGGAAATGGGGCGGTTGCAGGGGGAGGGGGGGCGTTAAACCTCTAAACAATTCATTTTTGAATGGATTTTTACCGGGAAACACTGATCATAGAGGGGAAAAATACATTTTCACGTTCCAAGAAGACTATAGATTTGGAAACAACCAAAGATTGACAGCCATTTCTCGTTAGTTTTACCACTGGTACCAGGCGACCCCCACCTTCAATCGCATATATATCAATTTCCGTTCAAGATAAATGGATACTTTTTCATCAAAAGCAGCTTAATTTTAAGGTTATACCAATAACTCCATATGCAAAAGCAAAATAAAACGCACCAAACAAACGAACATCTGACAAGCGCCTGATTCCACCGTGTCGTGACACAAGTATGTGACGTCAATGTAGAACGCAATATATATAGTCCTAAGACGTTTGAATGATTTTTCAGAGAGAGCAGACTGCGTAGAAATTGATATATATTTTGTTTGAGTAAAGGGACCGGAAACACATCGACTCTATGATGGCTATTCAGGGCACGGAAAAAGTCAGACATACGGACAGAAAAACAGAGGGAAAAAAAGGAGAAGTACCTATCAGGGTGCCTTCTAATCACTCGAATGTTGTAGTGAAAATGGTGACAGATCGGATACACATTAAAACAGAGGCAGACAAGTACATGTATGACTGGAGAGAGGTAGAAGGGACTTTCTAGGGTCAAAGGAACAGAAGAAGGCCGAAAGCTACATGACCGAGAAAGGTGGGAACTGATGCAGAGAGACTGGGTGAAACTTGGACACAACTGGAGACAAATGCACTGGGCAGACATCGTTCGAGAGGCATTGTTGATGGCCTATGCCTTTTAGGGAGTTGAAAGACGAAACTGATAGACGGAAAGAGAGCGAGAGAGAAGAGATAGATAGATAGAGACAGGGAGAGAGAGAGAGAGAGAGCGAGAGAGAGAGAGAGAGAAAGAGAG